AAATTATAAAAATATAAAAATGTTTTTAATAAAATATTATTTTTCGTAACTTTCGATATCTCTGAATCAAAAATGAAAGTTTTATTAAAATTGCAATACTCANATAAAATTATAAAAATGTTTTTAATAAAATATTATTTTTCGTAACTTTCGATATCTCTGAATCAAAAATGAAAGTTTTATTAAAATTTATTCATCGCAATACTCATAAAAGTTGTTCCATTTTAATCGATACGATACATTCGAATATCTTCGAATATATCTCTACCACTCATTTAAAAAATATTTTAAAATAAACTTGTTCTGCTTTCATCTCTGGTCAGTAATTTCATTCCGAGTGAAAGCACTTTTGAAATTTCAAGATAAATTTTATTTTTGTGAACGAAATCATACGTTATGTATTATATGATAATATATAAAAATGTATTAGAACATCAAAAATTCAATATTGTATGAGATATGTTTCATGATTTATATATGATATTTTTCATGTAATATAATATTTATTTTAATATTTAAATCAGGATCATGAGAGGAATTAATTGATATAAAAAATATGTAATTGTGCATTAAAAAAAAAGATATGTAATTGCATCTTGCAAGTTTAATACTGTATATAGTAATGCTTATACGAAGATGCAATCATCAATAGACTATTATATATTCAGGTTTTGTAAAAATTTTAGTGAATATTTTAATGAAAGAGTGAATTGACTGATGAGAATCGATATCTGCTAAGAAAAAAAATTACATACTTCCATTAAAAAAAAAAAAAAAAAAATTAAAAAAAAAAAATAAAGATTATTTTCAAATCTCAGAAAATCGCTTCTAGTTGGAACAAAACTATTAGAACATAACTATAGGGTACATCTCCTTCAAAATCCTACATATTTTTTTTCAAACATTATTTTTTCGATACTACTTAATTTTTAATTACATTTATGATTTCGATATATATTTATTAGTATGTGTCAATAATTTCATACAAAAATACAATATATGATTTTTTATCAATTTATAATTTATTTTAAATCTTTTCTAAAAGCAAAATATATGTTTCTTAAGAAAGAATGACGTTATTCTAAAATACTAATGAACGGGAAACAACATCTTGATGATGCCTCGTGATGACGCGCGCACGCACGCGTGCGCAAGAACGTTCTGAGAAAAATTTTTGAAAAGGAAACTACGCCACGCATACACACATGTAAGTTATGTTGCTATTATCTCTATTTCTGTTCGACGTACACCAGACGTATGTCCATTCTGCCGTTTTCAACCATGTGTCTTGACGCTATGCGACACTATCAGACAGACGAAGATAAATAGATACTCTCGGGTTTCGATCTCTTTTCTTTTATTTCGTTTCCGTCTTTTTTTATCCTTTTTTTATCCTTTAAATATCTATCACTATTTTTCACTTACATCCGTTTTCCTCCGCTGTGTATCTTATTGTTAGTATCGTATTTAACATTGATAACGAGGCTGTACCATCACTTACGCTAACATCATATTTATTTAGTAATGATTTAATATCTATAATAAAATAAGAAATTATTTGACGAACTCAAGATAAGATAAAGAGCACAGTTATTGTATGCTCGTTTTGAGAACATAAACCTCGAAATTTTGATTTTATAGAAAAATAAAATACATTTTGACATTTTATATGAATATATAAAAACATGTATCATTGTTCTCTGAAACAATTAAAACAAATAAGATTTATGCAAAGCAAATTAAAAAAGTTTTTATTTGTTATTAGTATAAATTAATCTTTCTAATATTTTATTTGCTAGGAAATAGATAATTTCAATTTAAAATGTATCAGAGAGTTATAATTGATTTATGTTTAAATATTCCGTATTAATTATTATTACATCATTACATAGAAAAATTGTGCTTAGAATATTAGTCGAATAAAATAAAAAAAATAATTTTAAGGTAGAATATCAATAACTATGCATTTTCCGAAGAATCCGCGTCAGAATAACTTTAAGGAGAATTTTATTGACCATTAAATGCATGGAGCTTATCGCTTATCATAACATTGGTAATGAGCCATTCTAGGCAATTCTAGAGAAACGATTTCTTTTTGGAGTATTTGAAATGATCCTTTTGAGATTTCGATCACTTTAAAATATGTTATAATTCAAGGAATTCTAAAATTAACTTGTGTTCCGAGAAAACATAAAAAAAAAAATTCATTTATATAAATACACCAATATATCTACATCTGCAACTTTTCCCCTTAAATACATATAGCTGTGTTTTTTTTCCTTTTACATCAATCACTTTCTATCGTCATTCTATATATGAAAGTTAAAATAAAAGTTCATCAGAAGGGAAGATATATTTTACAAAGAGTATTTCATATATTTTATTATATATAATAAAATATAAAAAATATAAAATCATAAAATGTAAAAAAAGAATGGGGAACTATACCTTTCTCCGTCCTTGAGGGATCCGGCAATATTACTTTATGTATCACACAAAAGATTCTAGTGAAAAAGACTAGTCCTTGAAAACTAGACATATTAGTGTACTTATGTAAAGAATTTTCATTGTTAGAGAAAATAGCTTATAACGCTTTTCAAGCTGCTAGGAGGCATTTCCTTTAATATATATTATATATGAAAGATAGTATATATGATAAAATGATATTCTCTTTCTCACCTGATCGTTACGGCGAGCAGGACGATTAAGATGCCGACCAGAACCATAGCGATCAGCACTCCACATATCATGTAAACACTATCGGTAGGTGGATCTGCAACAAAGAGATTTTTTGAAAAAAAGCGAAATGTTTTTTCACGCACACTGTGTGTGTATTTATCATTTTTTTTTTAAATAAATAAAAATCGTAGATTTTTTTTTAATCATAGGGATCCAACGGATATCATCATATAGTACGCGGGATGATTTCCGCGTGAACGCTTTGTGTATACAAGGTAAGAATACACGTATTCCATGAATCAGCGTAATATCCCGACCATGAGACGTTCTACGTCTTGTCTACGAATAATTTGGAACTTGTTCACTCGCGACGTAACGATATCGTCGTAAACCAGCCCACAGGTTGCCGTCAGCTGACGCCGTTGGCAATGTTAATCTTTGGCACAAACGGCAATCATTATAATATTAACAAACTTCGTGCTTTACGTTATCGATTTCGCCAAAATGGATTTGCATATAATTCTCAGAACATTTCAGAAAATTCTCGTTTATGGAGAATCGACTTTGAGGACATCAATTTTAGCGAATAAAATCGTTAAAACATGTCAACATATTTGACTGATTTGATCCAATATTTCAAAGACTCTCCAAACATTTTTATAAATAATCAATTTTATTTGATTAATTTTAGTGAGTAAAATCGTCAAAATATTTCGAATAAATGCGTCGTTGAAAGTTGACTTCGGGGACATGTATCCGATATTAAAAATAGAAATTGAAGGGTGACGTCTTAAAATTTTGGCTCTCTCTCTCTCTCTCTTTCTTTCACTAAAGAAAGATCTTTCATTATATATATATATCTTCCACACATACACAAAATATTGAATCATATTATACTTTACTAGATATAATTTTTTTTAATATTACAATATAATAACATATGAAAGAATTATTTTCAATTGACATAATTTTCTATAAGATTTAAATTTTCTGTCGTATACCTCTATTAAATAATACATTTCAAAAATAGATATCTCAATGAATCGAGAATGTCTCAAGTTTTTCTCTTTCGTTCTAGACTAGTCGGTTCTGCGCAGTATTGCAATAACGTAAATCACCGCTATATATATATGTGACGAATAGAAAATTCGGTTCACACAACTCCGCCACGCAAAAACGATGTTTTTCAACGAATCATGTTTTTCAGCACTAACGATGATGACATAAAGAATTTATAAGAAAATTGGAAAATGTCGTCGTCGCTATCATCGTCATTATCAGCTATTGTCGTATTCTACAAATCTTACGCAAGTGAAATTTTATGCAAGAGTTTCAAAATGAAAAATGTTGCGAATAAAATTTCGCAACTTTTGAACCGAATGATCGCACCAGTGCAATTTATCATCCAGCTGTCGTGTAATCCGACTTATGATAGTATAATCGAGAAGCTAGATTATCTTGTTAAAAATAACAGCATCGCTCACGGATAAGATGCTTGTAATAAATATAAAAGCGATTAATAAGTTATTAATAAATTGATTTAATATATTGTAACGAGAGAGACAGTTCTGTAACAAATAAATGCCTTTGAACATCTTTTGTATAGTGATCAATTAATATAACTCAATTAATAAAATTCCTTAGAATAAAGAAAAATAAAATAAACAAGGGTAAAATATTAATAAAATGTAATAATGTAGATGTAAATGTGCTATAGTGTTTATCGAATTAATGAAGTTATGTGAAGACTATCGAACGAGATCCATTAAATAAAAGAGATATAAAAGATGTCTCACTCTAAATTTACAGATTCTCTTTTCGTTCAAACCTATCTGAAATTGATTTTAAAATTATGTAATAATTCCCATGTAACACTCTTTATATATGTATAACTGTAAAATTGTTTCCTAGTAAAAGTACCAGATGACTCGCTGATCTGATCTATGCTCTTTGTGTGTTAATCAATGACTAGATGACTTTAATCTTGTTCTACATGATTCACGCGTATCCGCCGTGATAGCCATTCTCTTCCGTACTCTTTATCTTCCGTAATTATTTATATTGTCGTAAAACTATTGTACATTGCTATTTAATTGTACTTTGATCACATCTCACGTGATCCCTTGATATCGGAAAATGAATCGACAGTTTTGCTTTTTTTCGTCTGTCAACGTAATCGAGCGTTTGAAAAATGTCAAAATCTAATGAAATTTTATTTTATTAGAATTTCAAACATATGTAGAGATTGCTCCAAGCTTTGGTAATTTTTTAACAATATTTGGAACATTTTTTCAAGAGAAAAGTTTTGCTCACAATTTAAGAGAAGTTGGATATACCTTCTAGTTCAAAAATTTTTTATTTAAAATTATATTTAATGTGTTTATAAGAATTATATAATATAAACTCTGTATGTGTGTAAACTTTCATGATTTTGAAATCTTGAAAATTGTAATCTTGAAAAAATTTTATCACTTATAAAAGATGTGCCTCTCAAAAACAAATAGCTCTTTCTTAGATATGTTTTTATTCAAATTAACGAAAATATGCTTAGATTGGTCATCTTATATCCATGTATGTGCATGTGTGAGTTTAGTTTTGTCATAAATAATATTCTGTAAAAAGTTTTAGCTCTGTCTGCGTGTCACAAGTTTATCGCAACCGGGTCGTAAATTTTGACCATAGTTCAGTGCCTTGCACACTATCGCTCGTCTAAATGCTTACAGTTATTGTTAACTGCTTGTACAAATTACGGAAACGTTATATGAACACACATAACGACGAATTCATGAAACCGATCGATGTTGTATGCGATAAATCGATCGATAATGTTCGAAAGACGAGAAACTCTGACTTTATTTCTAAACTTCATTAAATATAGAAATTCTTCTCGATATGTACAATAACATTATTAAATATATAAGCATATTAAATTGAAATAATATAAAATAAAAATTAATATTTTTAATTCATATTAATATTTGCGGATTAAATTAATTTTCATATTAAAGTATTTTATTAACTCTAGAATCCATATTTCTTTTTATTTTTACAGATTATTTTTATATGGTATTTTTATATGATTTAGTAAAATTTGCTTTTATTGTATTATTCTCAAGGTTTTCTATTTTGTTCTTCTAACACCTATATTATGATTATACTCTGTATAAAATTTAAAAAATTTTAAAACAACATACATACATATCATTATTCGTTTCGCCTTATTTTAGCATGAATATGACATGAATCTCATAACTCATTGTCAATACACAAAAAGCAAATCTAAAAATCTAAAAATTCAAAAAATGTGAAATTTATAGAAATAAGGGACGACGAAATATAATATTTTCAATATTTCATGGAATATTTTCCTTCGTCATCCCTTCAATCTTGTTAACATAACTTTTCCAATAACAGATTACTTATCCCAAGGTTTCGAATGACGTTAGAACTATGATGTAAAATACAATGTAAAACGTAAATCATGATGTATCATTACCCAGACCGTACATGTCCCTAAAACATGTCTAAAAAGACTAAAAGCATCTTATCGTCCTTTAGATATCTTTAAGATGCCTTTTAGTTTTTTTGTGCTGTACAAATATATATATATATATATATATATATATATATATTGTATATATACAGGAAAAATATGCCCGCGTCACTATAAATGCCGCACCCTGTATATGCTCCATCAAATTATTGATATTATTTATAAATATTGGCTTATAATAATACACTGATTATTATTTATATGGAATTTGAATATGCCATTATTTTGTGAAATAAGTAATCACTTTCGCGACGTAAAGACATTTAGTTTTGGAAAATTTAAAAGATAAAATCTAAATCTGAAAATAAATTTATAAGATTGAGAATATAATTGAAATCTTGTGAAGACAGAATTAAGAAGATTTTTGTGAAATGACTTCCAGGAACGTTTTCAGCAATTTATAGTACGAAAAATGGGAATATTTCGAAGAAAAAAAAAAATAAATATTTAAATCGTTATATAATACATTATTTTGGATTTCTCTCAAAGATATAAAGCGAAAGTTTTTGAAGCTTGTATATCGTACGCGCACTAAGATTGAAATTATCTCCACTTGACATCGACATATCTAATTAATGAATTATATTAAATTAATTCTAATACACGAGAGAATAAATTTATTAACGGAAATTTTTGCAGTAACAGACATTTGTTATATCCAAACGACTCGAATGCCATACTTTAATTTTCGTAATTATGCTCGTCTACGTCAATGTAAATGCATAGAAGAATAAACAATCATTCTTGTACCAAGTCTTGTACGTACAATTAGAGTTCCGGAACTATTAAAATGCAGGTATTCCACATCTGACTTTGCCTCTTTTCCAACCTGACTCTTTGTTGTATCGGCATATAGTATAGGTATTATTAAAATGCGATTGTATAGTAACATAACAATATTCAGTCTACACAGAGTAAAGCACTTCATTTGATGAGCCTGATTATTCCCGCATAGAAACTAAACATGGATAGAGATAAGATGAACAAGTATTTTTAAGTTGTTAAAAAAAAGAATAATTTGAGTTTTCTTTAGAAAAAAATGATTATATGAAACATGCTGTACACGTATGATAAGACTTTAGCAATGCTAAAATGAATTTGTTATGCAATATTTCGCCAATTTTGTAAATGCGTTGATAAATTTATGGCAAAAATATGGAGAGATATATCTAAGTACATTCTATATATATCTAATTCTATATATCCTATATAATTCGACAATATATTTATTCTTTGAACGAAGAAAACATGCGATATTTTAAATAAAAGAACAGACTAAAGGGTGCCTTAAATTCTTTCGTATTCATTTAAATACGAGCAATTGAAGAGAGATGTCCCATTAAAGCAATTGGGCACCTCTGTAGTCTATTTTCGTGTGGCTTTCGTTCGATAACGATCGTGCCATGACCTTTCCGATCGCGAATTGCTGTCGTTTGACCTCCACCGCGACCTACATTCAATCGAGACGCCGATCAATGCCGAAAATGATCTCGATTTCAAACACTTGACATTAATTTTTACTTAATACGATAATTAATCCGTGATCACATGTGAAATTATGATGCAAATCAGTAACATTGGGATGAGTTTGGCAGATGACAGGCCTTATAGTCTGTAACTATAACTATCATAATTAATTCTGTGTGATACGAGAAATGATATGACATTGTAGATCAATTTTTCGATTATCGGTTGAAAACTGGTCATTAGAGAAAATAAAAGAGAAAAATCTCTTTCTCTTTGTGTTGTTAACACAAGGTTTGAAACTATTACGAGAATATTCTCGATTCCTTATAATCGATTTATTTTCATCGGGTATATTTAGAAAATAATATTTGAAATAACGATCGATTTGTCAATTAATTTATTGGAGTTTTTGAATTTAACGTCATGAAATTTTCAATTTTGCAAAGAGTCGTTCTTACACGAGACTAAATTATACTAATCCATCAAATTTTATCATGCTTTAACATATAACTAATAGATGATTTGCGCACAAATATATTTTTTTTATTGCAGTTGTGCAAATAATCTTCTCGCTTTATTAATTAGTATGCGATTATCTGTCACAATTAATTTATACTTGAATGTATATTACTTATAAAGAATTAAACAAATAATTTCAGGGACGTATTTGCAAAAGTGCAACTGTAACATTTCCAAAAAAGAAAATTATAAATGTATATATTTGATATTAAAACGAATTTTTTGATTGCGCTAGTCAAAATTGATGATAAATGTGAATTTTTTGTCTCACTTTTTTATCTTTTAGTGTTATGCATTATTATGGAGATAATAAAATAAACTGATAATATAGTAACAAATCGTAATATAATTAAACTATTAAATAATT